TTTTTTTTTTTTTTTTTTAGAATTATGAAGATAGAGATTTAAATTATAAAGGTGTAGATTGAAATTGAGGAAAATTCAATATTATTACAGTGTATTTATCATTTTGTTAGAGAGGTAACAGTTCTATTTGAATATCAAACTGTTGGTCTGTAGATGCAGCCACAACTAGGATTCTTTCCCAGAACAAGTATACATGTTTTTGAAAAGATGGCAAGGTGTTAAGCCTCACTTTTGTTTTCAAGAGGAAAACCAATGAAGGTGTGTCACCTAAACTAATGACATGATTGCCAGCCGAAGACTTCATAAAAGAATGCTTCTGACTGATTAGAGCTGTTGGAACAGTGGCTCCGTTTGGGCCGAAGGTGGGCAAGGTTAACAGTGGCTCGGGTTGGTCTGAAGTTGGGCGAGTTTTCTAGTTTTTTTGGATATCATTCTTCACAAACAATGGAAGGAACAGTTCCGGTAGCTATCTAAAGTCATTAGAATGGTTTGGTTTGGAAGGGACCTTTAAACATCTAGTCCAACCTGTAAGCTAGAGTGCAGTGGCTTGTTGCAGTTAACAGCTTGGTATCTTACTTCAGTACAGCTCTGCTATTGTAAATCTTCAATTGTAATCAAAAAACAGAAATAAAGGCTATTACTGTTCCCTTCCCTTTTAAGGGAAATACTCAGGACAGGAAGGATCTCATCCCTTTCTAATGCCTGGTAAAAATATATGCTTCTGTTAGATAACATTTTACCTTCTGATATGCTGATGCTCCCATCACATGTATAATCATAGAACAGAATTGTCAGGGTTGGAAGGGACCTGAAAGATCATATAGTTCCAACTCCCCTGCCATGGGCAGGGACATCTCCCACTAGACCAGGTTGCTCAGAGTTCCATCCAGCCTGGCCTTAAAAACTTCCAGGGAGGGGGCTTCCACCACCCCCCTGGCAACCTGTTCTACTGTCTCACCACCCTCATGGTGAAGAACTTCTTCCTAACGCCTAATCTGTATCTACCCACTTATAGTTTTGCTCCATTCCCCCTAGTCCTGTCACTGCCCGACATCCTTAAAAGTCCCTCACCAGATTTCCTGTAGGCCCCCTTAAGGTACTGGAAGGCCACAAGAAGGTCACCTCGGAGCCTTCTCCTCTCCAGACTGAATAGCCCCAAGTCTCTCAGTCTGTCCTCGTAGGAGAGCTGCTCCAGCCCTCGGATCATTCTCGTGGTCCTTCTCTGGACACGCTCCAGCAGGTCCACATCCCTCTTGTAATGGGGGCTCCAGAACTGGATGCAGTGCTCCAGGTGGGGCCTCAGGAGAGTGGAGTAGAGGGGGAGAATCACCTCCCTCCACCTGCTGGCCACACTTCTCTTGATGCAGCCCAGGATCTGCTTGGCTTTCTGGGCTGCAAGTGCACACTGCTGGCTCATGTTGAGCTTCTCATCCACCAGCACCCCT